AGTTAGGGTGTCTAATTTGGTTAAGTTGAGGAGAGGACACGTGTCATGTATTAAGATCAAAATTCAGCGGGCAGGAGCCTCTCTAGGAAAAAAATAATTCCGATCTAAACTAGTAGGGCATCGGGGCGCCTGGGTGGCGCAGCCGGTTAAGCGTCCGACTTCAGCCAGGTCACGATCTCGCGGTCCGTGAGTTCGAGCCCCGCGTCGGGCTCTGGGCTGATGGCTCAGAGCCTGGAGCCTGTTTCCGATTCTGTGTCTCCCTCTCTCTCTGCCCCTCCCCCGTTCATGCTCTGTCTCTCTCTGTCCCAAAAATAAATAAACGTTGAAAAAAAAAATTAAAAAAAATAAAATAAAATAAAATAAATAAACTAGTAGGGTATGAAGTATTAGGGGAGAATCAAAGTATAAAAAAGTGTTCTCATTACTTATTTAAATCTCTTAAAACCTCTCTGAGATGGCTACTGTCTCTATTTATCTGTTAACCAGACTCTGTTCGTAGGGGTTAAATGACTCATTCAAAATTAGACAGGTAGCAAGAGACAGGATTAAAACTCAGGTCTTCTGATTTGAGGTTGAATGTTTTCTTACTGCACCATAACTTAGCAAAGCATAATTACACATATACCCTTGATGTATACTAAATGGTTAAACTTAGCCCAGAGGATCAAAGGATGAATTTAAAAATCCAGGATATGAATTTGAAGAGTGAGGACCTACACTGCCATCTCAGCTCATAAAGAAGGCAGAGGACTATCGACAAAAACTTCTTTGAATGGTTTGGGTCAGACTGTCCCATGAACATTATAATTGCTGGGGTTCAGGAGATAGGCAATGGGGATATCAGTGATCTCGACAGAAATAAAGGCCTTACAGCCTATACAAAGAAGTTGATTTTGTCTGATTCATTTCAATGCAAACACAAATACTATACCTCTGGAAAACACTTGCCCTATCTATATAATTTTAAATTGTCAAGCTTTTTTGGAATACATTCATGGAGTGCATTAAATCAGCTATTTTGCTTTGGGAGATATAATTTTATATGTTATACTGCTCCACTGAAATGCCATACTGCATTTCTCAGCAGTCTTCATTGGCTAATAATTCAATTATAAACACAATTCATTATTTTCATGTTAGATTAGAAAGCCTTTTGCACTGGCTTGAGCTATCTTCCCAGAGCAAATGGGGCAGTTTATAAAAGGCCAAACCGCAGGGTGGAGCATTGAGAGTATAAAGCATCATATAAAATTTAACCACATTAAATGGAAATCTGCCTTACAGCAAACTGCTTATCTGCAGTTCAGGGCAGCTCAACTTCCCAGATAAAGGCTGCTGCATGACAGCTAGGAGGGGTTCATGTAGTCTCTTTTTCTCTGCTTCTTCACCCTGTTTTATAATTTATTGTCTTTAGTGCATTTCTTCACCTTGTTTTTTTTTTCTTTTTTTTTTTTTCCCTGTCCCTTAGTGAGCAAAGAGGTTACTCTAATTCTGCGATGCCTTCCCTGAGTCTTTTCATGGATTCCAGGCCTGCTCTTTTTTAGGCTCAGCCGAAACCACTTGTGTCAATTTCTTTCCTTTTCTATTGTATGATCTTTATAAAGGGGGCTATAAGAAGCAAGGCAGGGATCTACAATGATGAATTATTTACTGATGGATAGCATCAGAAATGGGCAGATGAGAACCACTCACTTGTATGGGCACAAGAAATTTTTGCCACTATTAATCAAATTTCTTCTGATCATTCAGTTGAATGGTCTCCTTTCTGCATTTTAAATCCCTGAACATTGATTCATCATTATGGTGACTTTACTGATATGTGCGGCAAACAAAATTTTTCAGGTTACTCCTCTTAATAGTCACTTGGCATTAAATTTCAAGTGCGAAACCAAATTTATCTTCCACCAAGTGTCAAAATTCCAAGGCTACCTGGTCCAGCAAATCATGACAATGTCTTAATTTACTATCAAGGCCTGATGCCTCAATATTTGTATTTCATTCTAAATGCATTGTTCATTTTCTTAATTTTTTACATGTACCCAATCTTAGGAGTATGTAAGACAAACACTCAATTTTCCCTAGAAATGGAAGGCATTTCTGCTTTGATTTTGATAATTACATCACAGTTTGTTTTGTCTTATCTGGAATAATGACTTCTTGATAGCTTTGTAGGCTATTACATAAATAAATATTTTGTAAGAAGAAAAATTAATTCTTTAATATTTGCCATAATGAGTGTTATCATTACAACAGAAAATTTGACTAACAGAAGTTAATCAAACTGCTAACTAACTTAAAAATTAATCTTTTAGGGGCTCAGAGCCTAGAGCCTGCTTCAGATTCTCTCTCTCCCTCTCTCTCTGCCCCTCCCCCACATGTGCTCTGTGTCTCTCAAAAATAAATAAATATTAAAAAATTAAAAATTAATATTTTAATGTAAATGGATTATTGTTTACTAGAGTCATCACTTTAAAAAAAAACATTGAAACCTCTTTTAAAAAACCAGTAAACATAAGAAATAGAATCAAAATTATTTGCCAGTGTTTTTTAAAGCAGTTATCTTTTCCTTTTGATTTTAAGCAGTTACTATGTTTATCATTTTTTTCAATTTACCCCTCTGGTCATTCCTTATTATCTAAACACTGCCATCCCCGCCTTCACTTGATCTTCACCATGTCTTCCCAGAAAAGGAGAAGTCAGGACAAGCATCTTCAGTGACAAGATGCTTCAGAACAGTTATCTCCCTCATGCAGTCAGAACGAAGCGTGCTATACTGGGGCCCTAAAAATGTCATTCCAGTGACGAGTAAGTTTAATAAACATGGCCTTGCTTTCTCCATCTGTAAAGTAAGAATCGTTCTGTATGATCTCCAATGCCCCCAAATCTGTAAAATACTAAGTATAAAAAAATAACTACCAAGGTTCGTGGGTGACTCGGTCAGTTGAGTGTCTGACTCGCCATTTTGGCTTGGGACGTGATCTTGTAGTTTGTAGGTTCGGCCGGGTGGGACTCTGCACTGGCAGTGTGGAATATGCTTAGGATTCTCCCTCTCTCCCACTCTCTGCCCCTCCCCAACAAAATAAATTAATAAACTTAGGAAAAAACTATCTTAAAGACTGTTAAATAACAAAATGCAAGCAAGTAAATTTGAAGGTCTAATTGGCTTATTAAATGATTCATGAATCATGAAGCACCCCATCTAGCAAGTAGAGGGGAGCTTCAAGGAGTTAGAAGAGTTTTATAGAAGGAGGGTCATTATTAGCAAAAGAAAAAGATGGCATTCTAGGGAGAAAAGCAAAGTGTCTTATTATGCTGATTATCTCATGTTTTTAGGGGAATGGAGAGGGCCTAAGTAGCAGACTCATTGGTGCAGATTGAAAAATTCCTAGCTGACCTTTTTAAGACTACATTTCCAGGAGTAGCTAAAACTTCACTTAGATTATGTATTATGCACCAGTTTGGGAACTCAGTCTAAGTGCACCATTTGGGGCCCGTGGTGTGTTTGTTTGTTTAACAAGACAAATCATAAACAAATTAAATCGATGTTGATGCAGTACAGTAAAACTGAAAATTGGGTAAAGAAACAATTCCCTGACTTTAGAATTAGCTACTCTTAACTAGCCACTTCTATTATCTCAATATTTATTTAAACTTGCTTATTTGGTAATTATTAGAATACCATATTATGGTATAGAATACCATACTTATTTGGTAATTATTAGAGTCTTCCAAGAGCTAACGTAGTTCTAGCCCCTTTTGAAAACTAAAGTGTGTATTTGAATCCCTAACAATTTATTTCCTATAGTAAGAGTGGTCTGAAAAAAATCACCATGGCTTTCAGCATAACTTACTTTATACCAGTGAGAATCTCTAATTTTTGTTGTATTTATCAGCTCTATATTAATATATACTTATTGAATACTTACATTCTATTTACATTGTAATTTTCCTATTTAAAGATATTATCCTTAGGTTTAAAACATGAAGGAATCACAATCTTTGTTAACTGCAATACTGAATAGATTTCTCCCATTACAGGACAAAACAGAACAAGTTCTTGATGAAATGTCTTCTGCACTAGGCTATTTCTAGGAAATTAAACAAAATCTAAGCCATCCTCCAGAAATCTTTACTTGATCTAGGATCCCAGAAACTTCCAAATGAAACTAGGAAAACACCTTTCCTTCACAAGGAATCTTCCAGATTCTTATAATTTACATATACAAAGACCTTTGGTATAGAGCTGGAAGCCAGAGACATAAAAACAGGAACTAATTTTAAGAAAAATATATGACAATTGAATTTGCAACTTGTTACGGCATGACATTTATTATTATTATTATTATTATTATTATTATTATTATTATTATTATATTACTATTACTATTATTCCAATAGCAATGGAAGAGGAATTCAAAACTCTGTCCTCAAATATTGAAAAGGGAAATCTCTGATCACTTGTCTCAGAAATACTCCTTTAAAATTCTTCTTTCTTCCATTGAACCCATGTCCTCTTTGGTAGTAATTTACGACTTCTTTTTCCTTCTCAAATTAATATATGTACAGGAGGAAATTAACACTTATCAGTCAAGATTTATTTTTGTTATACTTTACAAGTAAGGCATAAAGTAACAGAATTTCAGTATATTTCCTCCAAGAATAATAAACTGTGCCTCACTGCTGTTGTTTAACAACTCAAAAAATAAAGGATGTTTTAAATGTGGGGACGCACTCTTTATCAATAACAAATTTCATTTGATAAAGATAAATTATGCAATGCATGCATGCAGATTAGCAAAAAAAATGAAAGATAGGAACAATTTATTGATGAAATGAACTAATACAAAATATATAAATTGCCCTAGCATTTTGGAATAGAGATCATAAATTTTTTTCATAGTCAACTAAGGTGTGATTAACATTTAAGTACAAAGGCTATTTAACATTTAAACACAAAGGTTTCTCCATGAATTACTTTGGATTTATAGAATCCCTCTTACCAGCATTTCTTTTGAAGTTGCATTTTATGAAAGATGAGATGTTCGAGCACCTTATTCAACCGAGGACTATTCTTCTGAACACATGACCAGGCAGCCACACAGTGCCAGAGCAGGTGGTTAACTTCGTGTCCTCCCTGATTAACTGGCAAATGTTCCTAGAATTAAAATATAAAAATATATCTGGAAAAGAGTTATTTGACTTGAATAAACATGAAAATATACAAATGAAAACGCATTACTTTCTTAAACTTCATGTTACACGATACAGAGCAATTTACTAAAGTACAGTTTTATAAGTACATACAGTATGGAGAAGGAAAAATAATTTTCCCTCTACCCTTCCAGGTTCCTGGATGAGACCTCCCCACCCCTGTTAATAAAAAGATTCACATGAGAAAACCAAACATAAATTTAAGAATGTGTATACATCCTGTACCCACGGGAGACACCCAGGAATCCCCTCAAAATGGCCCAAGTCACCACTTCATATAACATCTCTAGCTAAAGACATAAAGGGGGGAGGGGCAGCTATGGAAGGTTAACAGGAAAAGTACAGTAAACAAGGGTAAGGTTGATATGCAGATTTGTCACTGCCTCTCCTCTGATAAGAGTTTCTATATATCTAGAGTCATCCTTGTCTTCCTGGTGCAGAGAGGGAGACACCTTACAAATGGAGATTTCTCTTAAAATGTAAATATCTCTTACAAAAAGAGTAACTTTTACTCAGTTTTCATAGCTTCTCCTGTGTCTGCAATTTCTTAAAAATAACCAGCCTAAAATTATCCTTATGCTAAAGAAGCATATTTGGGGGCAATGAATTTTGTTTCCCTTCAATTGTTAACCTGAACCTAATGTCTTAATTGATTTTCACATGGGTCCCTTGTGTTCAGTGACATCAGTTTTACACTACGACAGAAATCCCATAATCTCTAAGGGACAATAATTAGACAAAACTGTGCTTCTTAGACCCTATATAATTTAGTTCTCCCTGACACCCGAGGAGAAGAGGACAGGAGAAAGTCTGAACAACGTTCAAACAACAAATCAGGTTTTAAAATGTGGATTTCCACTAAGGGCCAAATATATGTGCCTGGTTAGACATGGTCAATGTCTGCTTAGTAACTATTTTAAAAGCCTACAAATTCAGGGGGGAAAAATGGGCTCTTACCTGTTAGTTTTTTCTTAAAGTGCTTCCTAACAGTTTCATAGATTAATTGGTCTACTAGAGTAACTGGTACAAAGAAACCTGATTTTATTGTTAGACGTGATAAAATAGCACTCTCATTGAATTTTCGCCAACAATACTGTTTCAAATACACATCTTGTGATGTGTACACAATATCACGTGATATTTCATTCTTTAATGTATGCCCCAAAGAAACACTTAAAAAGCCTCCAAAATGCTTTATAACTCTCATTTATTATACAAACAGTAATAAATCTACAATTGAAAGGTAACTTTCATGTTAAGTACTCTTAAGTTGAAAGGCCAGAAGTTCATACACAAATTTTAAATGAAGATATTTTGAGTTTCTGGTAAACTGTTTAGTTAAGTCCCATAGATATGTATTGATCTACTTTTATGTTGAGAACTCGGATGCTGGCGGTAAAAGTCATGAGTAAGATAAAGCTTCTACATAAGGCTACTGACTGTGGGGAACAACAATTCAGAAAAGCAAATGAAAACAAGCCAATGTTTAGAATATTAGAATACTCCATGAAAAGCTTTATTTTAAAGTAATATAAGACATAAGACTGAGATGTACTGACTTCAGTAAATGCACACAGTTTATCCAAGTAACTCAGTTTTCTGCCTTGCAGGAGAGCCTACCCCAAAATGGAAAAATCTTATAAATGAAATTCTTTTCTCAAACTGCTCTGTCTCAGCCCGGATGCCTGACAGCCCTCCTGTTGCAAACTTATTCCGAATAAATATGTAAGTAGCTATGTGAAACCTGTGAATGGCTTGACTAATTAACGGTCAATATTTTGTGTTTTTTTAAAATCATGTACACCGCATACTTCCATAGACTATTCAGTTAAGTCAAAAATTATTGGTAACAAACTTATGCACTTATCACCAGAGACAATTCCCAAATGTCAAGATTAGACAATGAGCAAGATTTACACTTTATTTTCAATTTTCTATGATACCATTTTCACTCATCCCTGAGAAAGAAAAAGCAGCCTCTGATGTCCAGAGCTGATTTGACAACAATATTCTTACAAGCTAGTCTGACGCTCACAGCCTGGTCATTTTGTTTTATTGCTAGATATAAACTCACAGAATATCAACCTCAGACAATATTATTCTGAGACCACGCTAAATAAATTTAAAAAAGAAAAAGACTTGGTAAATTTTTTCTAAGCACAGACAAAACTCACTGTACCACTCACAAAATACCCAATCACACATTTGCCCCTACTTTCTGACAGCATCAAATCTGCTTCTTTAGACCTTCCGCCAAATCACCCAAAGTCCAAATTCTATAGTAGGTTCAATGTAACACCTTCCTATTGGCATATCCCCTAATTCCTTGGTTATGTGTTCTCTGCAACAAATAAGGAACCCACTTAGCTTAATTGCAGGTGTCCCTGGTGGTCTTTGGCATAAGGGCATCCACATCACCAAGAGCAACTAAACCTGCCACACCCATGAATTCTCCAGATTAGTGAGGCTTATCACTTATTCTCATGCATTTTATATAGTTCAAGCATTTGCATGGAAATCTTGCTAAAGTTTCATCCTTGCTCTTTTTCAAAAGAAGAAATATATTTTCCAAACTTGAATGAATTGATATAATGATGATGATGAAGTGATTTAATACAATTACCATGTACATTATCAGTGCGGTAGGACAAGAGGGAGAAATGCTCTTGAAGGTATGAGGTAGTGTAGAGTTCTCTACCTTTACACTAAATCAGTCCTATTCAAGGTGTGGCTGGCAGATAAGTGCCATCTGCAAATGGTTAACTACAGTACAGAAATAAAGAATACATATTTAGAAACATTTATAACAATCTGACAGTTAATTTTAAATATTTTCAGTCTAATAAAAAAATTAATGTTCCTCTTTTTATATCTTTTTTGTTTCATTTTCAGTAATTCATTATTAATGTAGTTTACAAAATTATCAGTCTGTGATAGTTTGGAATTTTTTTTTTAAGTTGAGAGGGCCCTTTTTTTTTAACACAGATTGTATGAGAAACACTGAGCAGTGCATTAAATGACTCCCAGAGAACTTTTTCTTTTTACCCCCTTCCCTACCTCCCTCCTTCCTCTCTTCCTTCTTTCCTTTATTTTCTTGGCTTTATGACTCCTTCCTATAGTTCTTTTGTCTCTTCCATAGTCTAAAGCTGGGCAACTGGACCATGTTGGTTTGCAAACTGGACCCTGTACCCAGAGATCCAGCTGAGATTAAAGGAAGAGATGGGCTGCTCTCTCAAGGCTGCATACTTAAAAATGGTTCCAGCTGTGGGAACAGTGAGCAGAACATAGATTCCAAGGACAGGGAAGGGGGTGAGGAGCCTCAGATTGCCCAGGGCCAGCTCGTGGGTCTACCAGTGGCCATATCCTCTTGATTATGTCCTCCAATAAGCTATCGGTTGCAGCTGTACAATACCTATTTTGAGAAGCTCACTCACAAAAGTGCTGTTAATCTACTGTTGGCTGAAATTTCAGATAACCACATCAGCTTGAATTTTATGCAAATTTGGTACACAAGCTCTGAATGTCTGACCAGGCTCTCTTTTATAACAGAAATGAGCTTTGAAGGATAGGCTGTATTGTGGCTGGTTAAGAGATAGCTTTTGGAGTTTCATCCTTGCTTTCCGTCATTTGGTGCATGGTTGACATTGCCATTAAAGGACCTCTCAACACAAATGTCCTACTTCAATAATAGGACATGAATCATAAGATAATGCTCCTAATTTTAAAGAATCTGTGTCTCAATCTAACCCATTTCCTAGTAACCATGTACGGTTACACTATAGCACAAAATGTCCCAAATTTGATAGTGCCTTTGGCTTGCTAGTACATTAAAGGATGAGATTGCTAACCACATGTGAATGTAAATGCTGTGTGCTTCCTAGTTTTTAGAAAACGATTTGTACTTTAGGATAGCTACAACTATTTAGTAAAGGGTCTACTGCATTTCGGTTGCGTTTTAATCTACCATCTCCAAAACACTATGTTGTTATTATCATGTGACAATTGTACTCAGCAAATTCGGCTCTGCTAGTGAGCAAAAGACAGAGAACTCAATCCTGTGTTCTGGCTCTGCATGCCACAGAGCTAGTTAAAGTGCACCATTTGTCAAAGTCAATGGGAACCTTGCGTCTGAATCAGCTTAAAAGGACATTAAAAGGAGAAATGGGCTCTAGAAGCAGGGAGGGGAAATTTCCTATTGTTATATAGTGTATATAATACACTTCTATACTCTTATATAGTGTATATAATGTGTATATCCTACAGAATTCTTTATTTTTCAGCAGTGTTATAGTAGTACTTGGAAAACAAATTAAATATGCTTTTTCTCCAATGCTCATAAACATATTAAAAACAAAATATGTTGCAGGGACCAAAATATGGTGGCATGGACCTTTCAGCATTATTGGAAGATGAGGGCTGTCTCTTATGGTGTGCCAATAACAAAGAAGGGAGAGGGTCGAATACAGATGTATTGTTTATATTCCCTTTTCCTCTCCGTTTCCCAGGTCTTCTCGCAGTAGGTGAGAGAGATGGGTATTGAATGGCTAAGGACTCAACTGAACTGGAGGGGCTGACTTAGACAAAGCTACGCTGAAGACACTGGGCTGAAACTGGGGAGCAATGTTCAAACGTGCAATCAAGCACTGAATCAGTTAGCTGAACCAGAAGTTGTAGTAGCACTGTGGCTACACTACCTTTTCTATTCTTTTTTTTTTTTTTTTAATTTTTTTTTCAACGTTTATTTATTTTTGGGACAGAGAGAGACAGAGCATGAACGGGGGAGGGGCAGAGAGAGAGGGAGACACAGAACCGGAAACAGGCTCCAGGCTCTGAGCCATCCGCCCAGAGCCTGACGCGGGGCTCGAACTCACGGACCGCGAGATCGTGACCTGGCTGAAATCGGACGCTTTAACCGACTGCGCCACCCAGGCGCCCCTACCTTTTCTATTCTTTATATGGTGTGGCACTGGGAGGGGGTAAAAGGAGGGAATAAATCTGACAGGCTAAAAGCTGTTCTAATGCCCTCACAGAATCACAGTTATAGAGCTGAGATAGAACACAGAAAAGATTGAAACAAAGCTCTTTGTTCTCTGTTGAAAAAGGAACAAAGACTTAGTGACTTGTCCCACTCTCAGCAGTTAACATTCTTTTCATGTGTTAACACCTTGCTCCTTCCAGCTCAGTCAAAGCTGTACCAGTGGTAAGCTTCCATTTCCTTGTGGCATTTGTGCACCAAGAGTGGCAAGAACGGATAGGTTCTTAAAGAGAAGCAGAATCAACATTGAAGGTTGCCTCTTCATAACCAGAACACTCATATTGTCAAGATTTCACAATATCTTATTTTTTTAAGCAAAAACACTCAAATCACTCCATTAAGCACAACTAACCACATTGTAAAACAATTATTTAATCAGCATAATCATGCCCTTAGATGAAAATTATTGTATTTAACTGCCTAAATTAAAGTGAGTTCCTAAATACAATGTTCAGTGATCATTGTTTACATTTTCATGGCACTCACTAATTTACAAGGCACATCTTCACAACTCCATAGATTAGAGTGAATATGATGATGATGGTGGTGGTGGTGATGGTGTTGATGGTGATGATGTCTTGTTTAAAGATAAGCATTTGGGGGTTTAGAGAGCCCAACAGACCTCGTCCGAATCAGTCAGTTGCTAGCAGGTCTTAACTCTTCATGATCAGTGTTCTTACAGTTGTTCCATATCTTACATTATATATTTATTGTTAAAACATTTTTAAACTTAAAAACAAGATCCCTTTTGTTCATGAAGTAATTGGTGTTCATTAGTAATTATAACCAAAAGGTTCAAATTACTTAGCATATGTCACTCTATGTCAATGATGGAGCAACACTAAAGCTAGAATGATGACATAGATGTGGTTAAATATGTTTCCTTTAATACTTATATTTGACTTGATTTTAGAAAGGGCCCAATGGGTGGCTCAGCTGGATGAGCGTCCTACTCTGGATTTTGGCCCAGGTCATGATGTCTCAGTTCATGAGTTCAAGCCCCATATATGGCCCATGCTGGCAGTGTGGAGCCTGCTTGGGATTCTCTCTCTCTCTCTCTCTCTCTCTCTTTCTCTCTCTCTCTCCCCCTTCCCAGCTTGCTCTCTCTCTCTTAAAGTAAATACATAAACTTTAAACACACACACACACACACACACACACACACACACACACACACACATTTAGAAAGGGCCGAAGGGAGGGGCACCTGGGTGACTCAGTCAGTTTAGTGTCTGACATTTGATTTCAGCTCAGGTCATGATTTCACGGTTCCTGAGATCGAGTACCACATCAGCCTCTGCACTGACAGTGGGAAGCCTGCTTGGAAGTCTCTTTCTCCCTCTGTCTCTGCCCCTCCTGTGTGAGCATGTACCTGCACACGGACACACACACACACATACACACTCTAAATAAATAAACAAACAAACTTTACTCTCTTAAGAAACAAAAACAAATACAAACAAACAAAAATTTAGAAAAGGCCCAAGGGAAGCATGGGAAAATTGTAAGGCAACTATTTGAAAAAATAGTCTTTCTCAAAAATTTTTAGTGGTTTCAACTTCTCTTATGTTAAACATATTTTTTCCTTTTTAAGAAATTATTAGAAAAACAAATTTTCTGTTTGTAAACTATGAAATAATAAGTCTATACAACAAAAAATAAAATAACAAAAGAATCAAGGTTTTAAAGTGTTCACTGCTTTCTTTTGGAGTATATGTGAGAAAAGGAAATATATTATGAGCCCCAGAGATTGAAGTTTGTCTTCTGACGTACATCAGCCTATAACATATATGAACAAATTATATGGTTCACTGTAGTTCTGTTGGCATAATACATAGTTTATTAGAGACCAAGCAATTATATGATTGGGATAGTTTTCTCTAATGTTAATCACTAATGTCCGAGTTAGAAATTAAAAGAAAATTTTTCATATTTTCATATTTTCATAGGAATTATTTTATTTCCTCAATTTTGAACCATTTAAAAACATTTCAATTGATTTAAATAGCACTTTAAATGTTATTACATATGAATTATGGCAGCATAAAATACTACAAATGCTCTCATTAATAGCCTGTACTTTATGTGCTTTCCTTTTAATGTAAATGTAGTATCTTAAAATCCTCATTATAAGTTAATCTAAATTGGGGTGCAATTTCCAATTAAATTGCTGAGATGGAATCTATAAGGAAAAAGGCATTATGACACTACTCTATTTAAAGTAGTGGTGCTGCATATTGATGCCTAATAATCTTATTAACTACATTTCCCCTGTCCAGGAAATGTGCATATGGTTTAGTGTTTTTGCTGTTCATTCCTCTCCCCGGCCCCACCTCCAGCTAAACTCATCTTCTGCAATGTTACTGTATTGGCACACACAATTATTTCATCATATGCTATCTGATTCATTACACACTAGGATATACTCACCATATCCGAATCTATGTTCTTATAGCTTTTCTTGTTTTCGACAGGGTTAAAAATTGATCCAGAAGGGAGTTCTCTTTTACATATTATTTCCATGGTTTTCAGAATGAATTGCATATTTGACAAGATGTTTGGATACTTGTAATATGACCCTCCAGAGAAAGAAAGTGCTATTGTAAGAAAAATAATTTGTGATAATTATGTCATTAATATCTTGCATTATGTTTCATTTTGTTTCAGTTACTAAAATATAATGAAACTTAAGTATGTAGATGATGAAACTGCTATCCATTTCCGAATCTCTTCAAGATTTCTAATGTTATGTATGACCCCTGGTGGTATAATAGAAAACTGCAAGGTAAATAATTAATACATAACAGTTTACAATTCAGAACAGCAATTGGTATAATGGTTGAACACCTAATTAAGTACAGTTACTGTACAACAATGCTTTGAAATTTCCAGGTGAAAATAAATACATTTATAACATATACTCTATTCATAATGGATACTTTGAAACTGTAATCCTACAAAGAAACCAAGTCATTGCTTTTAACCCTACATTCTCCAGTTTTATTTCTTTTCAAGATGTTATTGTTGTTGATTTCTTAGAAAATATATTTTAAATACGGCAACAATTACTATCATTTAACATAACACTATGTTGGTATTTAACAGAACCATATTTATGCTGTTCTTTTTATAAACTTCTGGACAATTTTTGAGTTTCAATCTACTGAGAGTGGAAAAATTAGTAATAACTACTCTTCTACTGGGTGGCTACATAAATAGGAAGCAGTTCCTAATGGCCCCAGGTAGAAATAATTCTATTGTTGAAGACAAAGATGTAGCATATGTAAGGCTCTACTTAACAGTATTTGAGAGCAGGGCAAAATCTGGGGCTTTTATCCTTATATGGAACAAAGATGTTGGTTTTCTCAGGATATATCTACAAGAACAAGCTAATGTGATAAATTGAGGTTTTATGCAAATGATTTTTCAAAATTTATTTGCCACCATCATCTGATTATTTGTTGAGTCACTATGCTGAACACAGTGAGGAGCTGAAAGAGGATTTATAATGTATGAAGAAATCAAAACAAGTGGCACTCTAGCCAGGAATTCTTGCTCTGCTAGTCTACAATCTTACTTTGGTTTTATGCCCTGTCCAAATTGGTAGTAGTGGTGCATACTGGTCACTGTCCAAAGCACTTCCACCATTACCTTCTATTCCCTCCTCCATGACTTTTTCCACAAATATCCCCTTTCTTGTATCTCGAGTCTCTTAATCTCTTACCCTACAACACACTAGTCTTTTCCACTTTTGACTTTTTTTTTAATTCAATCCACTTAAACTAAAAAGTTAATTTAAAATTTTAAAAAAGAAAACCAAAGCAGGGGGCATCACAATCCCGGACTTCAAGCTATACCACAAAGCTGTAATCATCAAGACAGTATGGGACTGACATAAGAACAGACACTCAGATCAATGGAACAGAATAGAGAACCCAGAAATGGACCCACAAACGTATGGCCAACTAATCTTTAACAAAGCAGGAAAGAATATCCAATGGAATAAAGACAGTCTCTTCAGCAAGTGGTGCTGGGAAAACTGGACAGTGACATGCAGAAGAATGAACCTGGACCACTTTCTTACACCATGCACACAAACTCAAAATGGATGAAAGACCTAAATGTAAGACAGGAAGCCATCAAAATCCTCAAGGAGAAAGCAGGCAAAAACCTCTTTGATCTTGCCCGCAGCAATTTCTTATTCAACATGTCTCCAGAGGCAAGGGAAACAAAAGCAAAAAGCAACTACTGGGACCTCATCAAAATAAAGAGCTTCTGCACTGTGAAGGAAACAATCAGCAAAACTAAAAGGCAACCGACAGAATGGGAGAAGATATTTGCAAATGACATATCAGATAAAGGGTCAGTATCCAAAATCTATAAGAACTGCTCAGACTCAACACCCAAAAAACAAATAATCCAGTGAAGAAATGGGCAAAAGACATGAGTCTTTTGGAGTAGACACTTCTCCAAAGAAGTAGACACTTCTCCAAAGAAGACATCCAGATGGCCAACCGACACGTGAAAAAATGCTCAACATCACTCATCATCAGGGAAATACAAATCAAAACCACAATGAGATACCACCTTACACCTGTCAGAATGGCTAACATGAACAATTCAGGCAACAACAGATGTAGGCGAGGATGAGGAGAAAGAGGATCTCTTTTGCATTGTTGGTGGGAATGCAAGCTGGTGCAGCCAATCTGGAAAACAGTATGGAGGTTCCTCAGAAAACTAAAACTAGAACTACCCTACAACCCAGCAATTGCACTACTAGGCATTTATCCACGGGATACAGGTGTGCTGTTTGGAAGGGACACATGCACCCCTATGTTTATAGCAGCACTATCAACAATAGCCAAAGTATGGAAAGAGCCCAAATGTCCATCGATGGATGAATGGATAAAGAAAATGTGGTGTGTATATACAATGGAGTATTACTTGGCAATCAAAAAGAATGAAATCTTGCCATTTGCAACTACGTGGATGGAACTGGAGGGCATTATGCTAAGTGAAATTAGTCAGAGAAAGACAAAAATCATGACTTCACTCATATGAGGACTTTAAGAGACAAAACAGATGCGCATAAGGGAAGGGAAACAAAAATAATATAAAAACAGGGAGGGGGACAAAACATAAGAGACTCATAAATATGGAGAACAAACTTAGGGTTGCTGGAGGGATGATGGGCTAAATGGGTAAGGGGCATTAAGGAATCTACTCCTGAAATCATTGTTTCACTATATGCTAACTAATTTGAATGTAAGTTTTAAAAAATAAAGTTAAATTATAAAATAAAAAAAAATTTTTTAAGTTTTTTGAAAAGATTAATTGATAAGACTCACCAAGGAAAAAAAAAGAGGACTCAAATAAGTAAAATCATAACTAAAAGTAGATGCTACTATAGAAATGCAAAGGATCCTAAGAGACTACTATGAACAATTATATACCAGCAAGTTAGATAAGGTAGGAGAAATGGATAAATTCCTACGACCATATAACTTACCAAGATTGAATCAAGATGAAAGAGAAAATATAAACAAAGTGATTATTGACAAGGAAATTGAATCAGTAATCAAAAACCTCCCAACAAAGACCAGACAGCTTCACTGATGAATTCTATCAAATATTTAAAAAGAATACAAATCCTTCTCAAACTCTTCCAAAACATATGGAAGACAAAGGAACTCTTCTACACTCATTTTACAAGGCCAACATTACCCTACCAAAATCAGACAAGGATGCCACAAGAAAAGAAAATGACAGGCCAATATCCATGATGAACATATATCCACAAATCCTCAAAAAAAAATATTAGCAAATCAAATTCATCAATATATTAAAAGGATCACACACCATGATCGAGTGGGATTTATTCCAGAGATACAAAGATGGTACAACATCCTCAGATCAGTCAATGTGATACACCAGGGTAACAAAATGAAGGCTAAAAATCATATGATCATCTCAATAAATGCAGAAAAATCATTGGACGAAATTCAACATCTATTTATGATTTTTAAAACTCTCAACAAAGCCAGTATAGAGGGAATGTAACTCAACATAATAAAGGCCACATATGACAAGGCCACAGTTAACATCATATTTATAAAAGGCATCCAAATTGGAAAGGAAGAAGTGAAACTGTCTTTTGACCTTGTTTTTTCATCCAAACTATTGACATATTTCTCTTTCTTTTATAGCTAACTTTTTGTAATAGTTCACTATCTCTGTCTCATGCTTAAACTTTCCCTTCACTCTTTATTTACCTACAATCCGAATTTTGCTTCCACCTCTCCACTGGGAATGCTCCCAAGATCAACAGTGACTTTATGCTTACAGAAAGCCATCAACTTTCAGACCTCCTACCATTTAATACTTCAATAGCTCTTCATAATGTTGATCTTCTTGAACCTCCCCTCTTTGGATTTCTATGTCATCACTCCCTCTTATTTCCCTTCATTAACATATGTCACCCCAATAATTTATTAAATGTTTATGTTCCCCAAATCTATTCCTAGAATTAATTTCCCACTACCACCACCTCCCACCCCCCAGGTTATTTCAGCCTTGTTAACATGGATGACTGTCAAATCATGTATGTTAATATCCAAGAGATAAATGAATTCCAGACTTCGTTTATTTCCCTTGTTCCAAGTCTATATTTCCAACTGCTCACTGGGTATATACACCTGAGTGACCTTTAAAACTCAATATGTCCAGTGTTTCTCCAAATGTTTTTCAGTTTAGAATACCATTATCTTGACTCTATTTGTCAATATGTAAAATTTAAGATTCTGCCTGAATTCCTCATTTTCCCTTATATACAGTCTGGATCCAATTGATCACCCAATCCACTGTCTTTTTTTTCCTAAACATTTTCCAAAACAATTTTACTCTATTTCATTCCCATTTTCAAAGTTCATAATCTTTAACATCTCCTGCCCAACTAATGTCATAGCTAACTGATGTCCTGTATCCACTCTCTCTTTACTCCAGTTCAGCATCTACATTGCCACCAATGTTACCTTACTAAAATATAAAATTAACTTTCTTGAAATCTGGAAAGGTAGACATGATTACAGATGGGGAAACTGAGTCACAGACAAGGTCATGTATTTAAGTAGGAAAGTTAAAACCCATGCAATCTGGCCCAGAAGCTGTGTTCTGCAAAACTGTACCTATTATCTTTCATGAAAAATAAAATACAGCTTATGTTCTTTATAGTGATAGTCTGAGCTTCTCAAACTATAACATAAAACATTTATTAAGTGTAGAAAATAAAAGATAGTCTACCGTATAAATATGGTTGAAGCCTAAGTAAATGTTGTTTAAAAGTTCCTAGGTGACCATGCAGGAAATATATAAAAAGTCGTAAAAAGACCAAATAGCCAATCTGTCAAAAGAAAAAGAAAAAAGTATTTTTGTGCTGCATCAATAAATGTGTAAAAACTATGAGGAAAATAAACCATTTTATTGTTACATTTGCTTTGATGAAACAATTTCAGACTCACTTGAGATTATGTGCTTTTGAAATAACTTTAAGACATTTATATCAAGATTGAAAGACTGGTTCAGCCAAAAACCTTTTATAAATCGTCTCTACATTATATATAATGACCAGTACTGACTGCTATTCTGTTCTATGTCCTATAGAACAGTATTTTTCAAATCACAAGTCATGCCCCTTAACTGAGTCATGAAATCAACTGAGAGGGGATTTTTAAACAAAATAGAAGAGAAGAGAAAATATCATAGTACATTGCACAGTTCAGTATATAAATCAGTGAGTATTACGTGTGTGCTGGGTTGCAATGCAGAAGATATTTCTTCCCATGAGTCTCAGCCAAAACAGTTTTAAACACATTTCTTTAGATAATTTTGAGAAATGTTCTGCTGGTGCATACTATGCTACACTGAGATCCCAATTCCCCTATGAAGAAAAAGTCATTGCTGAAAAAACACTGCCCTCTTACCTCCATCAAGTTTCCTGTAGAGCAAGTTTGTTTGACATTGAATATGGAAAATGGAATATCTGCAAAAATATATGATATGCAAGTTTTCACAGAAAATGAGAGAAAACCCCCACAAACGATAGAAATAAATGGAACACAAATTCCTTAACTGCTAAATCAAAAGATTTGGGGAAAAAAAACAAATAAAACAGTATCACTGTCAAGATATAGATAGTTCAAATCAAATCCTCTTAATAGTGATGCAGGCTAGTGTCAGATCCACATGTAAAAAAATAATAATAAAATAAAAAGGATGAATCTACCCAGTGGCAGTGATTCAACCAAGACAATTTAACAAATAAGTGGCAACACTGGGTTTTGAACCCAAGACTATGCGTTGCACCAAAAGTCATGAACTTTCTGTTACAGCTGTGATTTCCAAATACTTTTATCACAAAATTCTATTGATAAAATAAATTCTGAGAATGCACCATCAGTATTTATATATGTATCTATAAATTATGAACATGCACCATCTATAGACTTAAAAAAATAAAAAGAAAATGTGTATAAAGCATACCCAAGGAATCTCTTCATATAGACCACTTTGATATAGTACTATACTTCTCTAAGAGATTGAAGTTAGATGGGAAGTGGAAGTTGTCAAATCATTTAAAAGAATATTGCAGCATTCTAAGTGGGAGTATTAAAATCAAAATACCTATTGTTATAGACGTTGAATGAAAAAATAATAAGGGGAATAATTTGCAAGGAATTAGAGATGGATATTGAAAGGAAAATTAATGTTCAAAAATTTCATGTCGGAGAAAATCGAAAAATTCATGAAAAACAGATCAGTTTGAATAATCACTGTATTATACCCCAATTTGGTTATGAGTTTCACCTGACCCTGGGCTATCCCTAGTAATAACTATGCTTGGCAAAATGATTTGATAAGCTTTCATCTATCATATTATAAAAGGCTAAATTTTTATTTAAAAATCTGCCTTTCTATACATCTAGAATATTCTGGGACCTTCTGTGCATCTTTCCTCATGTCTTATTTGTGTACATATTCTTTCTGTAGCTTGACAGCTTGAACTTTGCCTCCTAGGCTGAATCTCTCTGCTTGTCATTTTTCTCATTCCTAGCCCTCCCATCTTTCCTTCCTTTGTTCTTTATTCCCCTTCTTTCCTTCTCTTTCCATCACTTCTTCTCTTCATTACTCTGATTCTGTTATCTAACTACAAAATAAAAATACTGAATAATATTTATTATGTGTTATATTTTAATAGTTGGTTATGTGTTCCATGTTTTTTATAGAAGGTTGAAGAACACTTTATATTTATGTCTAAACTATATCAAACTATTATTCCTTATATGTTATTCTCCACACTTCAGTGGTAGACTTTGATACTTCAGATGATTCTACACACATAGATGAATAACAAGGAAAGAATGCACACAAAATCTGAAAGTAAATAATATTATGGTATCGAATATTTCTAGTACTGCCCAACACTGGGCCAAATATTACTGAACAACAAAATGGTGCATATGAAGGTGGGTGATGCTTTCCTGGCAATACCTTTCAGTACAGCATACTTTCAAAGAGAAGAGATCAAAAGGGAGGTTTCCAACTGACTGTCAGATATATAATGAAAATTCTACAAAGGGAGAGGAGTATATCTGAAATGGCTTCTTGCCTGAAATCAAAGGTATTTATAGAGCATGCTTATTTCCACTATCTCATTTATATTATCTAGAAGAATAAGGAGTAAGCTTTAAAATTCGCAAATCTGAGAGGCAAGGTAAATGTATAGCATTATGACTGACAGTCCAATGGACTCTGGGGTTCAAAACCTTCTCTGCTGAGACCTTGAATAATTCACTTAGACTCTCTATGCCACAGTCTGTAAAATAATGGCTAACAATAGCATCTATCTTTTAAAATTGTTTTAAAGATTAAATAAGTTAATATGTCTAATACATCTGAAGTGCTAATCATTGTTCAAGTTCTGTGCAAGTGTTCACAGCTGCTTTATGAACCTGTGCAAATTGTCTAAACTGTCAGATGAGAAGATATAGGAATCTTTTTAAAATTAAATGACATAGTATATATAAATTATAAGCAATTTGTACAATGGCTAAAACTTTATTTTATAGTCATTTATTGCTAGCAGAAATATAAAAGGCAACGAACGGAATATGTCCCTAAAGGGGATGAGAAGAAAAAGGAAGAAAAGCCAGACTTGCTCTATGTTTCTCCTTCCATTCTTTTTCCATTATAAAATATGTACAGACGTAGATATCTTTTTAAATCTCTTCAATAATTACATAATCTTTTCTATATCTCCATAATGGACAGTTTTGGGAACAGAGGAAAAAGAAAGAAGATAAAGTCATCATAATCTTACCACCCAAAGACAGCCATTGGTAAAATCTTGTCTCTCTTCTCCCAGCCCCTCTATGCAAAGCTTCGATTCTTTGCACATCCAATTTCTATTATGTGTTCTCTGAATCTCGCCTGGTCTCTTTAAGTCTTTTACCCCCAAACATGTCTGAGAGGATCTAGGCTTGATTTCTAAGGACTGAAACATCATATCTTCTAAAAATGCCCTAGCTAATTCATTAATATTTTCATGGTTGATTTCTACAGTTCACAGTCAAAACTGAATAAGAAATTATTTTTGCAATAAATAATAATAATTTTTGCAAGTAATTCTTAAAATATCATATTTTAAGAGTATGTATTTATTAAGAATTTTTTCTCCCAGGGACTCCAGGGTGGCTTAGTCAGTTAAGCGTCCGACTTCAGCTCAGGTCATGATCTCGCGGCCGGTGAGTTTGAGCCCCACATCAGGCTCTGTGCTGACAGCTCAGAGCCTGGATCCTGCTTCGGATTCTGTGTCTGCCCCTCCCATGCTCATGTTCTGTCTCTCTCTGTCTCTCAATAATAAATAAAATTCAAAAATTAAAAAAAAGAATTTTTTCTCCTAGTTTTTCTTTATCTTCTTTGCAATAAAACTACCAGTTAAGCTAAGTGTTTTTGACTAATAATAAATTTTACAGCAGGCAACCAGCATCATCACAGGGAGTAGACCCATATGACATCCAGGACCTTATGAAACATGAACCACATGAAGATAGTTTCCCATCTGATGGCTCTAAATGACACAGAATACTGAGAGAACAATTCACCTTCTCAAATTGGGCAACTATTTAAGGTTGTCAACATTTTAAAATGGAAAGAGGTATTTAAAAATTCTTAAAATAGAAAGGAAAAATGCTATATATATTTAGACATAAATTAAACTTGATTTTAATTATTATTTTCTTACATAGTTGGTGAACTTATATGTCCTCAAACTATCTCCATTTGGATATCAAGTAACAATGTATTATCCACATTTAGAAAAGATTAAAATAAATTAACAAACAAAAGAATATTCCATAATGAAACAAAATGGCCTGTTTAGGTCCTAAAACAGGTGTCATGTGACCTCATGCAGTATGTGTAGCAATTAAAACACATTAAAAATATTTTAAAACATACCTTTGCCAGCTTTATTTCAATTGAATATAAGTATGCCTTTTGGAATGCATCACAACAGAGTCTATATAAAACTGATTCCGCAACAAAAAATAATGCAGGCAGATGATCATAATCAAAGGAAGCATGGTCCAGGGAAGCATAAAGCATATTTAAAGCTTCTGAAATATTAAAAGTTGGAAACATCATAATTCATAAGCAATGCTGTTTGCATGCTACAATTAAGTCTTACAATTAACTATTTGCTGTCACCAAAGCCAGATTGTGGTTTTAAAATATTTACAAATTCTTTGACACCCCTCCCATCAAGAGGTGAAGTCTACACCCCTTTCCCCTTTTCACCCCTTTTATTTCATTTATTGAACCTGAGTAGGTCTTGTGACTGCTTCAACCAATAGAATGCAGCAGAAGTGACACTGCATGATATTCAAACCGAGATCAGAAAAGGCAATACAGCTGCCACTCCGATCTCTTTCTCAAGATGCTAGCTTTTGAACCCTAAGCAGCCATGTAGGAAGTCTTAATTACTCAGAAGTCACTAAGCTAGAGAGACTACAGAGATAGAGATAGAAGAGAGACAGAGAAATGCCCAAGGAGCTCCAGCTGTTCCAGCCAACACAAAGTAGATCGCCAGGCCACACAAATGATGGTGGAGAAATGGGACAGAACTGGATAACAGAAGACAGTGCTAAAGATAAGTACTATAAAGAGTGAAAAACTAGAAAATCAAGGCAGAGCAAGTAAGACCCAGGGGAGATGAGTGAGGAAGAATATCAAGCTAAGGCCCCAGAGAAATTACACCTCAAATTATTACAAAGATTTTGAAGAGCTGTCATGTAAATATCTGAAAAGAACAGCAAATGCAGGGACTTGAGGAAGAAAAAGCCCTGACACATCCAAGGAATAAGAAGGAGAACAGTACAGCTGGAGCAGAATGAATAAGTAGGGAAGGCAGCCAGGAGCCAGATCATAACGAACCTTGTAGTTGGGGCTTATTTTAAGTGTAATCAAAAGGCACTAGAAATGATTTAAGCTTTGGAATGGTCACCGCTGCATGGAAAGTGGATGGACTATAGAATGAGGAGCAGACAAGAGACAAGACAGGTGTGGAGGGTTTTCAGTTGTGGAGCTGGTAAGACAAATTCATACTTAGGTTTTTTATTTGGAGTTCAATATCTTGATGAGTGAAAAAGCTTTCGACTGTGTGTAACAGGAAATATAAAGACGTGTCTTCAAAATAAGTATGTTCATTATTTCCCAAGATCGTATTTGGAAATACTGTAGGGCTGGCTCATCTAACTGCCCTGGGTATGTATTTTTCTTTCACCTTCCAGTTTCTCTGATATATATGCTGACTGTGACGACCACACAAGCTCCATGCATTATTTTCTTACCAACTCATTTACAGAGGAATCAAAAGGTATAAGAAAGGAAGAAGTGCTTTCTCCCCAGGCATATTTTTTCAAAAGCAATTCAACAAAAAGTACTCCAAATAGACCTATTTTTTATATCTCTGGTCAGGACCAGGTCACGTGACCACTCCTAATCAGGTCATGTAATCACTTGGAAGCAAAAGAGAATGGCCATGATTAGTTTAGATCAACTATGACCTCCCCCGGATGCCCAGGCTGGGAAGCGCCAGTCTTCTGAATCACGTGACTGAAGGATACCTGAACAAAACAGGTTTAATGGACAAAGAAAAGCAAGCAGCTGCTGGTTGCTGATAAGCTAGGGTTGTTTACTTCAATATCATTTAAAAATTTAGTATAGGTCAGGCTGTGGATAGCACTGTGATGAAGTGCCATATAGGTAGGTTAAATACAAAATTGTTCTTACTCTTCCTGTTGCTTGAAAAGTCCCAGATAGCACTACAAAACCCAATTTACATAGGAAAATACTCTCTGACCTCATATGGTTAACATTTTAAAACTCATTGTAAAAGGCATACACATAAAATTTAGGATAACGATAGGAGGAATTTTACCTCCTTAAAAATAGTGTTTTTTAATTTCTTTTTTAAGAATGGTTGGAGGATGGTTTAAAAGGAGACATATAAATGAGAAGTGATAAATGAAAAGGTAATGAGTAAAATGGCTGTTTAAAATAAGTGAAAAACAAACAACCATTTGGCTAACGTCTTATGAGTAAGAACTATAAAAGTCCAAAACAAGTTTCTCTAAAGTATAGTGCCTATTGTAACTCAAAATCACTAAATGACATTTTATATTACTTTTTAACTAGCCAGAGCAAAAGGTTCTAAAACACTTTTGTAATTAAAATGTTGAACAAATTCATGAATTCAAAATTACAAAAGGAGCTTTCCTAATGAAACATTACCAGATATTTTGATACAGAAAGGCGAATTTTCCTTGGCTCCTGCATAGTTTTCAAATGTTAAAGTTCACAAATTATACCTTCTCTGCTAATCTAGAAAACACTTGAGGTAACTAAAAAGAGCTTAGTTAGAGCACATACCATCTTGGATTTCTCCTTTGCATTGAGCCAGATATATTACTTCCGTCCATGCAGTAGGAAGATGAACATGCTTCCCAGAGCCCAAGGTTTTGAGACCCAATTTTCTCTGTTATGGGAAAGCATGAAAAAAGGCAAACCAAAATGTACAGCTTCTTACAAATTTATGTGTTTATTTAATTATACTCTGAAGGTCACTCTAGGAGGCTATGCTCTACAACCAGAGATGTATAAAACTTTTTGTTTTGCTTTTCTTATTTTTATTTTTTGACATTTTCTGTAAATTGTTATTAATGCTAAAATGTAAGGAACGTTTGCTAATATTCTGAGTTATGTCATTAGTTATTTGCTAGAAATAATTCTTTTATTCTTTACTTTCTAAGGATTCCTTCTATCTCATTTCCCCACCAAGAGAAAGCATCTCTGATTCTAGAAGGAGAAGTATATTGAACAAATGCAGTTCGACAGAAAGTAGTTTGAAGCCAGTTTGCTGGAAAACCCTGGCTACTTCACTGTGAATGGACTGAAATTAATGAACATGAGATATATACCAAGATGACCAGTCTTTTCTTAATGGTCCCACTCCTAGGACTGCCCTGGGGAGCAGCTGGCCAATTGGAGAGAAGCTCACAGATGAATGTACCTGCTAGCACCTCTTGGCATGAAGTACATTATTTTTCTAATCAATTTTTTTCAAAATTTTAAAAAATATGAGCAACAGTGAACTGAAATACTGGGAAATAACAACCACCACCACAACAAAAAAGATGGCTTAATTTATGCTTCAATTTTGTGCAACTTTTATTGCATGATTTTTTTTTTGTATTAAAGCAAAATCACAGGTATATTAGTTTCTTTCAAACAAACTGGATCTAATGTAAGAAAAGTAAAACAAAGACTTATTTCACTTCTTGTTCTGTTTTGATATGTGTTTAAAAATCTGGAAATTAATGGCACACTCTTAAAGAATCTCTTTTCTACAAGTTAGGTGAATAATTTGTTACACAGAAAGAATAGAGTATTCTGAATAGTTTGTTACACAGAAAGAATAGAGTATTCCGGGCATGTATAGTGAAGGTTTAGGAAATCTTCCTTTCTTCTTTGGGACACTTCATATCTCAGTCAACCTTTTTTTTTTTAGAAAAAAGTGGAATTTTCATAATCAAAAATTTATTCTCCAGACTTTCATACTTTGTGGCGAGCCCTTGGTCAAGTGTCAACAGCTACATTTCCCTTTAACTTATGGATAATCTCCACCTAAAAATCCATTTGACATTGAATTATTTGGCTATAAGCTTTAACTTTATTTTGCATTAGTATCTTTAACTATGCTTACTTATAACTTTAAAAAAGTATTTCTTATTTTTCCTTTCAGTATTTTGGAACATGTAACCACCCACCAACTAGAACAGAAAGTCCATATATTAAGTAATCAAAGAGTGTACTATTACCTTACATCTGAGGATATTTTTTCTAGCTAGATCCAACAATTCTTCCTTCTCTTTTGGATTTTTTGTTTCGTTGAATCTCAAGATGAATTCTTTTGTGATTGAAAATGATGGCCTAAACCAAACAAATCAATAATTATAGCTAACAGTTCCAAATTTTAATTTGGGACTACCAGGGACTGGGTGTAACACTTTTCTTTTAAAAAAGTACTTTACCTTAATAAAAATGTTTCATACACACATATAGAAATCAGTGAAATAAAAAGAAAATATGTGTACAGACCTCCTAGACTGATCTAATCATGATCTTAGATTGAGAAACGGAATTCTCATAATGTCAAAGAATTTTGTAGTCTCTGAAAAAAAAAAGTTTCTGAAATGGTTGCCAGAAGTCTTGTTGATATATGCCTTCTTCATAGGTAAAACTCAGCACAGCTCCAGTTATGTTGAAGACTAATTTATCTCTTCATGTATATCAGTGTAGGTTCAATTTAAGCTAAACCTTTATTCCCTCCATGCAAGTAGAATCAGTCCAACTGTGGCTGCGGTAAAATGGGCGAGGGAAGAAAGATGTATGTGGTAAGGTCAGAGAGGTGACAAGTAGCCAGATTAACTCTGGATGAGATGGGGAGTTATTGCAGGGTTTTGATTAGAGGAGTGGCATGATTTAACTTAAGTTTTAATAGGATCATTCCAATGTCATATTGAGAGCTGGAGTGTGGAAAGGTGGGAGGTAGCCAGGGAGGAGGCACATGCATACTTAGGTGAGAGATAACAGTGGCTTAGATCAGATTAGAGCAATGTCGGTAAAGAGAAAAGTTTGGATGATGGGTATATTTTGACATGAGTTCCAGCAAGACTGCCTGAAGAATTAGAAATTAGGCATGAGAGAAAAAAAAGAATTCATGATTGAACTGAATAACTGGAAGGACGGAACTGCAATTTTCTGAGATGGGGAAGATTGCTGGAGAAGCAGGTTTGGGGTGAGGGCAGAGAATAAATTCAATACTGGACATATCGTGTTCGAGATGGCCATAGCCATCCAGGCGGGGACATGGAACAGGCAATCAGACATAGGAGTTCAAATTTCAGGTGAAAAGTTCAGGCGAGATACATCAATTTTGGAGTCATTACTGAGTCATTAAATACACATATGGTATTTAAGGTCTTGCCAATGAAAAGGAACCCCTGTGGGAGTGCATAGAGAATAGATGAGCATTTCAAAGAGAAGTGGGAAAAATAAGTTGAGGGTGTATGCAAAAGAATGAGGAGAGTGATTATAATGATATACCATAAGATTTAAGATGAGCATGGGATCAAAAGTGATATCAGAGGAATGATGAATAGCTGATAGAATCAATGAGTTCTTTATTTGTGTGACCAAATAACTGTTGGAGTCATGCCATTAGAAGGAGTGATCTGGAAGAAAAAAAAAAACACATTTTTCAAGAACTACCATGTTCAGAATTTCGTGGTCACAGCCCTTTTCAGGAGACAGACATATGTAAAAGTAAAGACAGTGCCTTATGATCACAGGATGAGGAGAGGTAATGGCATGGTGTCCTATAAACCAGAACCAAATATAGATATCCCAGTGAAGAACAATTAATGAAATAACCAACTCTTTAACTGCCATCCTAAAATGTGCATTTATTCGGTCATTCATTCAGTAGGCATTTAGTGACCATCTCCTGTTAATTTTGGAAGTGGGGATACAATGATGGAATAAAAAGCCCTGCCTTCAAGGAGCTTACAGTAAAATAGAGGAAGAGTTCAGGTTTAGCACTCTGGTAGCATTGGCATTCTGAAATGAGTAACTCCATTCTTGATTTTGTGTTCTCTATTTCACTCTCCATCTTGGAGACAATCTGCTTAGATAAATACAGTGAAGGTTGGCTGAAAACTCTTTCTCAATAGTCATCTAGGATGACATATCTTTGATCCACATGAAGACTCCAAAATAGCTCTAATCTTCACATGTGTACTAAATGCTATGGGAATTTCAAGAAGGTATCCCCTTTATGCAGTTAATCTTTTATAAATTTCATTAGAAATTATCTTTTTTAAAATATGAACATAACAGTGCTTTTCATAACAAACCAAACACGAAGGGATGCATAAGAAAAAGTTAACACACTTAGACTCCCAACATTACTGCCTCCGGTCATACCCATCAGAAATAGCCAAGATCAATGGTTTAGCGCGTATCCTTGCATACCTTTCTCAATGTTCACAAACATAAACAGACCTATAAATAATTATATTTAAATAAATGGAACCATGTATATAGCACTGTAGCATTCTTTCTTCATTAAATTTATTAGACATGGCTCAAGTTCAAATGATGCTAATATGCAGTAATATGGATATACACAAATGCAACAATTCCTTTATTGATTGACATCCCATTACTTCCTGTATAATTTTGTCCACCCAACTGATGCCATAATTTTATTTTTTTTTAATTTTTTTATATTTTTATTTGAGAGACAGAGAGAGACACAGCACAAGTGGGGGAGGGGCTGAGAGAGAAGGAGACACAGAATCTGAAGTAGGCTCCAGGCTCTGAGCTGTCAGCACAGAGCCCAACGTGGGGCTCGAACTCACAAACCATGAGATCACGACCTAAGCCAAAGTCAGATGCTTAAGCGACTGAGCAATCCAGGCGCCCCTGATGCCATAATTTTAAAAAATCCATGGGGCGCCTGGGTGGCTCAGTCGGTTAAGCCTCCGACTTCAGCTCAGGTCACGATCTCACGGTGACCTGCTTCCGATTCTGTGTCTCCCTCTCTCTCTCTGCCCCTCCCCCGTTCATGCTCTGTCTCTGTCTGTCTCAAAAATAAATAAACGTTAAAAAAAAATTTTTTTTAAATCCTTGTACATGGCCTGATATTTAACAGGTACACACTATTCTAATTTATCTATCCCCATAGTATACGTAAGTGATGAATCACTGGGTTCTATACTTGAAACCAACACTATATTGTATGTTAACAACTGAAATTTAAGTAAATAAATTTAAAAAAGAGTAAATATAGGCATTTGAAAAGAAAATATGCTTTAGCTTCCCACACTCCAACTTCTTCCCACATTCTAATTTCTTCAAAGATAAATGTAATCTATTATAAGTATATAAGTGCAGTTGTATGGAAAAGGAAGTAAATAAAGATCATTCTAATTTTACATATACAGAAAATATACTTGGCATGAATACCCTACCTAAACTATTTATGTTACCTGTGAATTCAGAATTATTTTAGCTGACAATTCATTTGTTCAGTAAATATTTAAGGGAAGTCTCCTACATACAAAGTATTTTGCTATATACAGAGAGGGCTAGAAGAGGAATCAGACTTGGCCTCAGAAAGTTCCCAATGTGGGAAAGAAGTGAGATGCAACAAAAAGATGTACTAAGAAAATAAATAAATAAAGGAGGGGCACCTGGGTGGCTCAGTCGGTTAAGCATCCAACTTTGGCTCATGATCTCACAGTTCGTGAGTTTGAGCCCTGCATCAGGCTCTCTGCTGTCAGTGCAGAGACTGCTTCGGATCCTCTGTTCCCCACCCCCCCGTCTCTTTGCCCCTCCCCTGCTCGCATTCTCTCCCTCCCTCTCTCTCTCTCTTCCCCCCCTCTCAAAAATAAACATTAAAAAAAAAGGAAATGAAATCATGTGAGAGTTTAGAAGTAGAAATAAATTCCTAGTCCTGTAATCTTGGTTTAATCACTTAATCTGTGTGAACTATCATTTTTCACCTGTGGAAATGAGGACAACATCTTGTAGAATTTTGAAAAGTATCATTGCAGTCTGGTTCCCAGTATATATCAAGTGCTGGATAACTGTTAGTTATAAGCATTACTGTTTTGGGTTAAAGATCCAGAAAAAGCTTCTTTGCAGAAATGGCACTTAAGCTGTAACATGAATACAAAGGAACTGGAATGTGACAGAATAGCAGCTGTCCTTTCAAAATTCTTTATCTGACTTTTCTTTGGCACATGATCACCTAGCTACTCTATATTTCCCAGTCTTTCTGGCAGCTAGATGTGGAAATATGGCCAAGCTAATGGGATGTGAGCAAATGTAATATATGCAAATTTCAGGTCACCTCTAACTTGAAGGCACACCATTTTCTCTAGAATTATACCTTTTTTCCCTCTGGTGGACTGGAACACAAATATAGCGCTGAATCAGCTTTGATTAGGCAGATGAGTACAACACCCTGTGAGATAATGAGGGTCCTGAGTTTTCTCACTAAAAGCAGGGCTGTCCTGTCAGCCTAGACCCACTGACTTTTTATGTCAGATAAATACATTTCTATCTTACATAAGCCACTGAAATTAGTGGCCTCTTTCTATAATTGTTTCCAATTTACCCTAACTATTGCAAATGGGAACAAAGAGAAAAAATAAAGAATTTAACCCAGCATAAACAGACAGAATGCTTAAAATCAAGGTAGGAAATGAAGATGGAAATTCTGGGTTGAGGAAAAACATAAATGGCATTGAAAGGTGGTCTGTGGCAGAGATTTATAGCTTCCTACATTAGTGTCTGTTCTCATTTTCTTACAAAAAGATTCTTTCTTGCAGTTACATATGCCTGTATGTCTATGTTTCAGTCAGTAAAATGTAAGTAAAATTCAGATAGTAGTTCTGGGAAGTTTACTAAAAAGGGGGAACAGACCCTTCTGCCCTTTATCCTGCTGCATGAAGCATGACTGTGATAAGTGGAGCTTCAGCAGCACGATAAACCCATGAGATTGCCTTATGTGTAAGCCATGTGCGGCAGAGCAGACAGATGGAACCTAGGTTCCAGATCACCATACCAGCTCTGGACTGACTACATTCAGAGAAATAAATTTTATTTTTATTTAAATGGCATTGCTATTTATGATATTCTTAGTTGCAGTGGGCACTAATTCTACGTTATGCACAGGTTTTTAAGTTTTATTTAATAAATAAAAAGGAACTATTGTGCAGAAGAATTAGGAGATTACACTGTACTTTAGGATGTCTAAACTCAAAGTCATATGTTGAATAGTTTTAAATGAGGAGTCACTGTTGGGAAGCCACTCAGCAACTATTTCAACAATGTAGGTAAGAAGTAAAAAAGGTCTGAAC